CTAAAAAAAACCCCAATAACTAAGTGCTCCATGTTAATCCATGACTATTATTCAACCTATTGAGCGGTCTAACTACAGTCTAATTGGCAGAGAGGTCATTAGTCTCTTGATTTTTTAGCCTTTGAGGTGTAAAATGTTCGCATGCCAACAGAAACTTCCAGGGTGTGTTCACTGGACAGCCCTGTTTATACTTTCATGTCTCTACAAGCTCATAAAAGGCCTTCTTTCACCTCGCGGCCAATTCAACTTTTATGCGGAGGTGAGTTTGACTCGAATCGCTTCTGTGGCTTAGCTTTAGTGTAGGTTCCTCATTTGCAATTTTAGTTTTATAGGTTGAAGGTGTTTGAGTGATTTACCGTATTGACTGCACAGATACCAGTAGAAAAACCAGATGTGTGTGGTTCACCAATCTTGTGCTGCTACATGACGCAGTTGTGAGGAGTTCGGATCATCAATGCACCCCCAGCCTTCTCCGGCTTTCTGTTAGATCAGAGGTCGGGAACTTTTTTGACTCAGAGAGCCAAGAAAGCAGATATTTGGAAATGTATAACAGTGAGAGCCATGTAATATATCTTACGATTGAATTCAATTAAACATGAGTATAATAAGCCTCTGACTACTTCAGCTGAAATCCATCAGACACTGTGGCATGTCCGAGCAAGCCCCAAAACAATTTGTTTTGACGGATTTACTCTAAGTCCGAGGAAGTTAACAACTGAAGCATGGGGACTAGAGTTCATATAGCAAAAACGGGCAACGCGGGGGATCCACTGAGGAACCGAATCCCTTGCAATTGTGTCAAAGAGTGACCACAGGATCGGCGAACCACATGAGCCCGAGCTTTCAGTTAGTACTTTTGCTATCGGTACGACAAATCATGCAGTATTTGTATACTACTGAGTGTTTTTTAACAGCAGTAGCTGATGGAATGCACCTAAAATATTCATATTAACCTTCCGAGGGAATTGCGCCCAGGAGTCAGTCCAGTGTGGTTTTCGACTGTGACCCTCTCCCAGTCCTGAAACTATTGACATTCCGCTCAGTGAGGTATACTCTTTCTTGGCGTTACCCTGGCATCTAACCTCATGGCTGCCGCCAACATTCACAGAAGCATCATGCTCCTATCATTCACATTCACATACTTTTTCCGCACGAGCGACAGTTTTTCTCCTAAAAACCACAAATGACATTCCATTATGAGC